CGGCTATGTAGGATGGCCGGCTATATATTAAAATAATGCGTTAAAAACTCTTCCCCACCGCCGCGGGGCCTGCACAGGAGGCTAACCGCACCAATTTCTTACTCTCCAAGCAGAAAAAAAAAAGTTTGGGTTTTGGGGGGGATTCCAGTGCAAAAAAAGAAACCCAATAAAAAAGCCTAAAAACGCCAAAAATAACCAAAACCCAAACCTCTGCTTGGAGAGTATTGATTATTTTCTATCAAAAGTGTGAGACGCCAGTCTGCATGTTCAACTCATTGTTTAAACCTATAGCTTACATATCTCTTTGCGGTGTTAGACCACATGCATGGTACATAGAAAAACATTCACAACATATTTAATCAGTCCACAATGTCAACAATCATTCTTGCTAAAAAAATTAAGATTGTTTGTTTGATTGAAACATTGAACTCTATATACGTCAAAAATACAAAACTAGTAAGGCGTACTTACCATATATTCCATGTTTGAAGCAGGAGGGTCGGCGCCCTTCCGTAGCTCGTTATGCTTGTCCACTATGATACCGATCTCTTCCCGGGTGAGTGCGGGGGCTGCTCGCCTGGTCACCCGCCTGAGATCGTGCTCCGAATCGTGGCCGAACGCACCGGGACCTGATGAAGTCTTCTGTAATATTGCCTGCCTCGGGATCTGGGCGACACTTTGAAGCTCACTGTTACAAATACAAAGCGGTGCTAGCACCACCAAAACAGCGAAAAGTCTTGCTAGAAATGACATTGTTCAGAAATGACAGAGAACAAGTTGAGGGAATGACTTGTGTTGTGGAGGATGACTATTGTTGTAGGAGGGCCCGCATGCCCTTTTTCGTAAGGCCTTTCAGGCCTTTTTAGACGTCGTAATCCGTAGACAGCCTCCCGAAAAATCAACGTAATCCGTAATAGTACAATAGCTGCAAATCGTAAAATCGTAATCAGCTCTGAGAATTTAACGTGAAATCGGCGGCGAAAATTTTGCGTAATTCGTAATCACTATCCCCCCATGCAGGCCCTCTTGTGGTGCCCCACGGCCGGGGTACCACACAGGAAATGACGTAGGAAGAACAGAATGCCAGTTGGCGTGTCTCTATGAAAACTCCGGAGGTCATAAAAGTTCACTACCATGGCAACGACCCAAACAGTGTGAATCAGCAGACGTAATAGAGTGAATCTGAGGCACTGAATAACGAGCGTAGTTCAGTCGACTTGGTTTTACTCTCCAAGCAGAAGTTTGGGGGTTGTCTTCTTTTTGACGTGTTTTTTAGGCTTTTTTTATCGGAGTTTCTTTTTCACTGAACTTTTTTTTTTCTGGGTTGGCGTAAAAAACTTCCAGTGCAGAAAACTCCACTAAAAAAGCCAAACACGCCAAAAAACAAGCCAAAACCCAAACCTCTGCTTGAAGAGTAGGAATGTTTGAACAATTGAGTCAGACGCCATGTGTAGCTGACCGTCCTTGTCTGAAATATCAAGTCATGCTTAACATTCATATCATCGGTATAATAACAGTCACTCATTTGGCTGTTCGCATGTCCTTTTGTGTATATACATGTATTTTAGCCCGTTTATTTTTGTTTTTTATCTGTTATGTTTTTTTCCTAACTGAAATAAAGAATGAATGAAATAGATTAACGGTGTAAAGAATTTAGTGACGAATTACAAGGAATAGAAATATGACCGGAAATGAGAAAACTAATGCGCATATTCTGCTGTTATAATACTTTGAACACCTAAATGCAAAAGATAAATTCATATTTTTTATGCTTCTAGACAAACCCTGTATCACAAACATGATCTGTTCCCACATTTTCCATTGTACAAAAAAGCGAGAAGAAGTTGACCACTCTGTATTAGCCCAGTAACTAGAACACTTTGTATTAGCCTAGTATAGTATCCTTGACTTATGTATGTCTAAGTCAAGTGTTGTATCTTTTGTCTCCACTTTTCTACATACGTTTATTATGTGTCTGTTACGTCTTGACCTGTACCTACCCCGTCGTGGCATGAATGTACAATAAAGGTATTTCATTGTTGTTGTTGTTGTTGTTTTTGTTGTTGTTGTTGTTGTTGTTGTTGTTGTTATAAAGAGGAAAACCTCCATGTCTAGTGGTTGTGATACTTCGCTCGATTGACATGGACGAGACACATAATTATAGTCTTGGTGTTTGTCAACTGGTGAAAGATACTAATCGGTGAAATGTGATCCTGCAAAAAACACTTGTCGGAACTTTCAGTCGGGAATCCTTTGTGAACATGTCACAGTACTAGTGAAAGGCTATCATTATATTGGGCCATGTTGATTTGATTATATGGATGACATCCTCTGGGAACCCCAAAACTGATGCGAGCGTGCGAATAAAAAAACAGTTACCTTCATTATGCCATCTAGGTGGTCATGAGTAATATTTTATTGGCATGGTGAATAATAGACTCTTCATTTTCATTCCTTCACATTTTCTTCTTGTCCTTTGGAATAGCATTTTGTATTCTGTGACATAAGTATCGTTTTCCGATATTTTTTGTTCCAATTTACGGCATAGATTTTGCAGCTACTTTGTACGATTTACAATATGGTTGAAAACTTTTTGGGGGGGACGGACGAAAATTGAAGCGCGCGGATGTCATCCATATAATGAAATCAACATGGCCTTAAGAGATGTGTCGAACAACTTATGTGTAAGTGGTAGCGTTAAAATAAGTGTTAGCTACTTGAACTTGAGTGCGTTACCATTTGATGTTGTACTATCTTCCTTTAATGTGTGAACAATGAAAAAAATGATATCCCACCGAAGTTTACATATA